CCCACCACAACGCCTGGCTATTTTTTGGTTGCAGCCATTATTGTTGTTTGGCGGGCCCAGGCTGGATTTGAACCCGCCACCTTGGGTGTATGTGGCTGGCACCTTAGCCACTTGAGCCACAGGTGCCGAGCCAAGGCAGCCTTTTTAAAGAGGCGATCTGAAGGAAATGGGTGCTGTATGTTCTTTCCATAGCTCTCTGCTTTGTGTGCCGTAAAGTTTATATTTTGACACCTCATGCCTTCAGTTCATTGCCTTCTCTCTTCCTATACTCTCTGTCATATGACTTTGTAATTTCTCTCAGTAGACGGATGAAACATATTCCCCATATCTAGCTTTATAATTTGCTTTGACTAGTGGAATCTGGCTGAAGGTATAGGGTGTAGGTTTTCAGCAACGGCCTCCATTAGCACGCACACACCTCTGCCATTGCAGGAGAGCATCCCAGACGAGCCTGCTGGTGAATGAAGGAATCCAGCCAGGTGCCCCATCATTATAAGCTAGCCATCTCACATCAGTCAATAGCCAGTCAGCATCCGGACACAGGAGTAATCCAGCCAAGATCGGCAGAGCCCTCGGTGATCCAAGTCTGCTCACAAGTGTGCAAGTAATTGCAGCTGAGATAAGAAGAATCCTGTCTGGAGCAGCTGAACCCCACCTCCCATGAGCTAAATGTTTACTATTGAAGCTTTGTGGCTGTCCTGCAGCATTATTGTGACAACAGATAACTGATACCACAGGTATCAGATATGATGGTTATTTTTCCTAATCTCTGTAGCAGCCTCATTCTGGTCACTTAATGTACCTCAAAAAATACAAGTTGATATCATATGTCAATTAAGTTTCTGGACTGTACTTAGAGGTTACAGTAGGAGTGCTAGAGGTGGTTTACTGTATTTTCATTCAATTATCAATGAATTTAGAAAGGCCTTTGCAAAAGTTGGTCTTCTGCAACAGTGAACGTGGTTGGAGGGACAGATATCCAAAAGTAAACTACATTCTTTAAAATATATGTAATTTGAATGAAATTGAAAGGAAGCTGAAAGCTTTAGTATATGGCTTAGTCTGTTTCGTGTTGCTATAACACAACGCCACAGACTGGGTAATTTACAAAGAAATTTCTTTCTCCCATTTCTGGGGGCTGGGAAGTCCAACATCAAGGTCCCAGCATCTGGTGGGGGGCTTCTTGCTGCATCATCCCATGGTGGAGGGTGGCAGGGTAGGACATGCATGACCGAGAGGAAGAGAGGACCAAACTCACTGGAGATAACAAACCCATGCTGGTAATAATGACATTAATCCATTCATAACCTCTGCCCTGGGGATGTGATCACCTCTTAAAGGTCCATCTCTCAACACTGATCCACTGGGGATTAAATTCCCAAGACAAGAACCTTGGGGCACACTTTTGAACCACAGAAATACAGAATCACAACTTTTTCATTTGCTCTCACTTGTATTTTCAACTACCTGCTCAACAAATTCTTGGATACTAAAAGTTTCCTTAGGAATGCGTAACGTATTACTTCATGGTAAACAGGATATTTAAAATAGTTGTTCATCAGAATGCAACAGGTTTCTTTATTTTAACAAATTATATTTTGGATTTTGTATGTTGGATTGTAACATCCAACACGATTTTTCCTATCAATAAGCCTTCTATCTTAAAGGAAACTGAGAATCATAAAATTATACTGTGTGTGGGGGGGGAGGATGAGAGTAAGAAAAGATTTTGGTATGTATGAGAGAAATGACAGGAAAACACGTGTATTTACCAGGATAGAGGCGCTCTCTCTGTTTTATTTTCATAAATACACTCAGAGCTCAGATTCTATCAGTGAATCCAGCTGAAGAATATCAAAGTCATCTTGTGTTAAAATTACTTTTATTCAGGACGAAAAATACAATATGTAACCAGATTAGATGATCGTCTGTGATTAGTTCTTTAACACATATTTCAAAAGAATTACATACTTACTTCCCACTGTTGTTACTGCAATATATTTCTTTTTATTTATTATTACTTAGAAGGATACAATGTAGTGTTTTACGGAGCTTTTTCTTAATAGCAGATAGAGGACATTTTGCATACAAATACAGGCAGAAAACAAATTAACACGTGACTTTTCAAAGTAAGACCAAAGAGTACACCAAATCCTACAAGTTGAAGTTCAGAGTTCAGGGAATTTTTTTTTCTTTAAATAGGTGCTTTTTTGATTATGATCTGGCCTGATAAAAGCTCTACTTTGCAGACTGCAGTGGCATAAAGCTATTTCCAACACAATGGATGCAGATGGATCTGAGGTAGAAAGGTGGTCATGGCTTTCCTCGTATATAAAACAATTCTCTTCTTCTCAAAATATCTATGCTGCAAATAGACACCCCTGCCCCCAACCCACCCAACCTATTCTAAAAGAATAGCAATTTCTAACTTTAAGCCTCCTCTGGCAAGATCCCAGTTAAAGAGAACCCAAAGTTAAAATGTCTTACTGTTTTAAAAGTACATATGCTTGACTCAAAACATGTTATTTTCACTTTTTTTTTTTTTTTTGGTTTCTCTACATTTGGTAATTAAGTAACACGCTTAAACTTAATCCATTAAATGTCAAATCAGGAGTTGAACCAAATACCTAACTGAATGTGCTCCAAGGTAAAGGCAGAGGTACCACCGTCTAAGCTTTAACGCCGTCTCTCTGTAGAGGCAGCGACATAGGCTTTTGATAAACATCCTTTCCAAACATACTGATCAAGGGAAGGGCGATACAAGCTCTGCTGGTTCAGTCAAACGGTCAGATGAGAAAAGCATTGAATTTGTGTCGGCTTTCAGAAGGAAAATAGCGAGGAGTTTCAAGAATTGTAAAGGACTTGAAAATACACGACAAGGATAAAACTCTCTTCCAAGGGAACTAAAGACAATGACGTGTTCTGGGCTTACGACAGGTAAAGGCCAGCCGCGCATTTAATGACGAAAATCAAGACCGGGGAACAAGGAAAGATCGTATCAATTTTGTTTCTATGTCAAAACGAAAATAGGCTTAAATTGGCAACCTTTGGTAAAATGTTTGATAATGCAGTGTCCTCTATCATAGAGACTGGGACATAAAATAAATAAAGAAATCAAGGCCTACTTATATAAAGAATTGAATACACTGCAGGAAAAAAAAATCCCAATAGAAATGCCACAGGATTTTTCTTGGGGTTATCTAAGTGGTCACCAAAGAAGGAAGTGTCTGATGTGAAATAAAGTTAAACAGTATACACAAGGCTGTAGCCTAGTCCATATATATATATGTATACATATAAAATACTTGATTGAAATACATGAATTTATTAGTTTGGCCACACCATGGAAACAAATACATTAAATCTATTTGGTTATGTGGCTGATGAATTATAAATAACCGAAACATGATGGTAAAAGGATCAAAGAAATGAATGAAGTTATTGTACAAGGTTAATATGAACAGCAGAAGGAATGTAAAAATGAAAAGTGGTCTTCTAACGCTTAGGCAATTTTTGTCATCGTTATTAAAAAGACGCTACCATATTAGAAAGTCCCCACCCGCCTTCCCAGTGCTGTATACATTATACAAATCAGTGACAAATGGATCACCATTTCCAAATACCTCTCTGTTCGTTAATTTACAGTTGCATAGAAAGGGAAGAAGAAAACAACAATATATGGTCATTATAAAAACAAAATAGCCTTTTCTCTTTGGATAGTCAGTGTTTGACTCCTTCAGTAGAGCGCACAGTCAGTGCTCGACAGCAGGGGTCAAGGCGCCAGGGAGCTTCTGATTCAATGGAACTTGGAATTGGCATTTGCTGAAAAGGGCAATACTGTACGTCAGGAAATGTTGGTTGGCTGGACGAATACTTCACATTGCCTGCGGGAAGGGAACACGGCATCGTCAGAACCACAGTTACATAAATCATTATGGGTAGCAAAGACCTGTGACGTCTACAAGGAAACAGAAATGCTTCTTTCAAAAAGAGTCAAGCCTTATTCAGCTGTGTCCAGATGGGACCCCTAATTTCCTGTGATGAGGTCCTTCTCTCTCATCCTGAAGTTATCTAGGCTGTTTTTTTAACCACTGCAGCTAATTTAGAGGAAGGTCTGGAAGTTTTTTCTCTTGCCCTGGCTGGAAGCCAAGTTAAAATCGAGAGGACCTGGCCTTTGTCTGCTGGGGGTATAAACAGTGAGGGAAGGAGGCTGCCGCACACACTCTGCCCCCTCTGAGGGTGCCGGGAGGTCTCCTGCACAGAGGGCACCTTCACAGTCCCAACCCATCCCAGTCCGAAGATGGAGGCCAGAGAAGAGGAAGAGGAGACAGGAACCGTATTGCAGGGTGTGCAGTGGTGCCAGTAAAGGTCAATGTTCCAGGTAAGAGGGGAAATAGGAGGATATAAAAAGGACGCTCTTTATTTCTGCTCCCACACCAGGCATGGCCTCGCTTCTCTTTCTGTGAAGCTCACCCATCTGGTTCAATCACTGTGAGCACTAGTTTGCCTCTTTGCTTGAATCGCTGCACTTTGCTGAACCCCAACTTCAATTTGGGTTATATGCAATACTCAGCTGCTCTGGTGCCTGTGCTCGTAAACTGGAACATGACACACAGCTGGAGGGTGACACATAGCCCTGCAGACTGGCCTCATGTCAAACTGTCAAATTCATGCAGGCCCTCCAGGGATGGCCTTTAATGCTGCTGCAGTCACTCTTTGTTTCCCAGCCCGTCTGCGCTCCTCACACCTCTGAAACCTCCTGCTGAAGGCACCAATTCACTCAGACCACAGAAGCAAGCAGAGGATACCCACAGCTCTCACCACATCACCAGTCCATCCACACACCCTTTTCTTTTTTTCTGAGACAGAGTGTCACTTTGTTGCCCTCAGCAGAGTGCCATAGTGTCATAGCTCACAGCAACCTTAAACTCTGAGGCTCAAGGGATCCTCTTGTCTCAGCCTCCCAAGTAGCTGGGACTACAGGCACCTGCCACAACGCCTGGCTATTTTTAGAGATGGGGTCTCACCCTTGCTCAGTCTGGTCTCGAATTCCTGAGCTCAGGCGATCCACCTGCCTCCCTTCCCAGGGTGCTAGGGTTGCCGGTGAGAGCCATCATGCCCGGCCTCACACCCTTTTCTATTTTAAGGCCCCAGCCCCTCTTGCCACTAAGACAATCAGTGATCAGGTTCACTGTTTCAAAAAGATTAACAAACAAGTTCATGAAAGAACATGATCTTCAAAGGGCTACTGGGGTCTTGTGGCACATGATTATGAAAACTATCCGATAGGGACAAATTCTGAAGGGCATATAGCTGCCAATAGTTCTCAGCACATTTTTAAACAAAAAATTGCAACTATTCCTCCACTCAAAGCAACAAAAGTGTCTTTTAGTAACAGCCCCCCCCCCCTTTAAAGTCAATGTTCTGTGATAGCTTCCCGAAGCAGACACATTGGGGATACAGCAGTAGCCAAACCTATCTAGAGTAACTATGTGTACTTTGCATAAGATGCCAGTAAAAAGCTGTTAGAACAGAGGATCACACCCATTATACTGTTGGTGTCTGGAAGAACCTGGCTTGGAAGCTCCCATCCCGCCCCTGCAGACTGATAAACCGTAGTACAGAATCAACTAACCTGTACATGTCAAGCTAGTTTACTTTTGTACATAAAGAATACAGTAGAAGGAAAAGCAGCAGCGGCTAATCTGCTCACACTGGGTCGTGATCAGTAACAGTGAGGCCAGTCCGCCTGGCAGCTCTTACCTGTGGCCTGCTGGGGACATTTGCTGGAAAAGAAAAGAAAAGAAATCAGTTGGAGTTAGCAATCTTGGTTCGTTGGATGCAACTTTCAGGCATGCAAACATGGGGGATGCACATCTTTGTGCATGTGTGGGATCCACTCCGACTAGGACAATAACCCCAGCTGTTAAATGGATGCTAATAGGAAACTAAGAAACCAGTTTTTGGTGTTGAGTTCCTGGCTAAATCCTTTAACAAAGGCTAGTTTTCCTAGTTATTTTCACATATCCCATGTGATTTAAGATTTAATGTATACACCAAAGAATTCAGAGAGTGACATTTTCTAAAAAAAAAAAAGAAAACCTCAACAGGTCCTGTTTACATCATGCCGTGTATTTAGTTTGTGCCTCAGAACACAGCAAGTTCTCTTCATTTTGCTAAACAGCATCTTTTGTGACCACGGTGCTAGTCGGGGCGTGGAGCTCTAGTTACGGCCAACCTTGGCCCACCCTTGCTGCTCAGGCCCGGGAAGACAGTGGTCAAGGGCTTGTGTTAAGGGAAGGGCTGGCCTAAGTCTTGGCAGCCTTCTGGACACTTGAATGAATCATAATGCCTTGGACAGGCCCAGTGAGGAACACTGAGAAGTTAGAATAAGATGTCTAATGCGACTTTGGATCCCAGTACCTCAATTCCTTCTTGTTCTAGAGACTGTGACAATGACAGGTTCTGAGAGGGCTACTCCAAAGTCTCCTATCAGCCTCTGCTGTTCATCCCTCCCTTTTCTGTATTATCTCATTCTAGACAGTAGGGAATAAAAGAGAAGACCACCCCCACCCCCAATGATGGCAGCATCTGTTCTTGATCAAATAAGAATTGTTCCTAGTCGACTAGCATGTCACATTCCTTCCATCTCTCCCACTTCTATGCCGAAGCAGAAAAAAGGCAGGAAGGAAAGGCGCCCTTTCTATGAAGCCTGGAGGGAAAGTATGAGCCCAGTGTTTGGGAGAGGAATTGGGCCCAAACTGGCCTGGTCCCACCAACATGTAAGTCTCTTATCAGAGAAAAAGACTGGACCTCCATACGTACGTGAGCTATCTCCAAGGGATGGTTGAGCTGAATTATTATTAAGTTACACCACAGCTTTACATGTTCCTTCCAAAACAGACAGAATTATGTTTTCCTTGTAACAAATATAACAAATAGACCCTTGAGTTCAATCCATTTTGCTTTGGACCAATACTTTTAACCTGACGGCTTTTTATCAAATAAAAGGCTATGAGTGCTCCCCTTGGAAAAATCATACAAACATATTTTAAAAGGAAATCATTGCATGTCACTGGGTTCTCAGGTTTTGATGAATGTCATTCAAGCTTAATAAACATAGGAAATGTGTGGGTCAAAAATCCTATTCAAAGCATTTCTTGGTTTATCAGCAAAAATACTTAGCTTACGAACAGCGCCCCATATGTATGAAAGACATAAATGAAAAAAACCTGACAAAAAATTTACACTAAAAAAGAAATGGTTACAGGAGTCAATGGGAATTTTACTACGTACATTGGTAAACAAGCAGCACCACTAAATTCTCATCATTAACTCTTTGCCAGGAAGGGATAGAAATGCCTGTCTCTCTGCTCTGAAACTCAATATAAATAATTTTAAAAGACGTTAAAAGGCCATAATTCAAGGATGCTATCAGAACCAACTGGGATGTTAATTCAGAAGGAGGAATTATAAAGTGTTCTGTGCAATATGTAGATGCAATTCAAAAGCATCATGTTTAAGAAAGTCGGCGATTCATGCGATTAGGATTTATGAGTACAGTTTCATTTTAATTCCAGGACTGCCAGGAGTGGAAATTCATTTGGGGTCATGCTAATTTTTAATCCACCAAGGATCAAAAGTCAAGATTAACATGCAGATCAATTCATTGTATGCTGGCGACAAGCAATTTTAAAGTTCTCATTAGTTACAGGGGCTCAAGGGATTGGCTTGGCTTTGGGAGGGTGCCAATCCGATTTGTTTAGGCAAATCCTCCAAAGGTGGTCAGTAAGCTTTGGGAACTGCAAAGACTTATTAAAATATTTGCTAGTTGAACAACTTACAAGGGGCAACAAAGCAAAAGAATCATATGTAGAACCTTCTGAGCATTATGTGGGAAAGCTTCAACAACTTAACCTTCCCGGACAGAAAATGTGATCATTTGTTCATTCATTTGTTCATTCAATTAAAAGACCTGTACTGAGAAGTCTACGTCACACGCTGACTTCTATTCTGCATCAATTTTTAAAAGGTTTAATGACTTTTGGCAGAATTTTAAAATATTTATCAATTTTACAAATGGGCCAATTCAGTCTTTATTTTTATGGAAAGCTCTCCTTATCGTGGGTATTTGTATATTATGAAGCAAAATGTGAATATCAATGTCAAGAAGAGCAAACTAAACCCAGACTAACAGCAGGACTTTTAGAAGCCAAAAACAACGATCTAGATGGCAAAGGCGTCTGCAATACACTATTCATCATTTCATAAATGGGATGTATTTCAATTCTTCAAAATAACACACGACTAGTAATGCTTACTCACAGAAAACTACAAATATTACAAATATCTGTGAACGTGCAAAGTTAAGACCATGAGAACATGGAGCCAGTTCCCCCTTAAGGAGTCTGAGGGCTTCACAAACCACCCCCACCAAGAATGATGCCAGAATAGGGGGAACCAAAGCAGAGGAGAGGTTCACCTGTGATGTGGGTCTCACTGATATGTACTCTGCTCAGGAACTGAAAGATTCCCAGCCAATAAGAATTTTATACTTGCCTTTAAAGGGAGGCTGTAACATGAAATAAACATGTTTACTTCTTAGGATTCATTTTTGCTCTATAATTATGATTACTTTTATTAGATTCCATTTTAAAAAACAACACGTGTCACCCTTTTACAAAATCTCGATGTAATAATATATCTTGAGAAAGATGTAAAAGTAAGTTCTTTAAAAAATGGAACTTGTAGGGTGGCACCTGTGGCTCAAAGGACTAGGGCGCCAGCCTCATATGCCGGAGGTGGCAGGTTCAAACCCAGCCCCGGCCAAAAACTGCAAAAAATAAATAAATAAAAATAAAAAAGATAAAAAATGTAACTTGTAAAAATCACAATTTAAAAAAAATTATTTATTTATTTATTATTCTTATTCTTTTGAGATAGAGTCTCACTCTGTCAGCCTGGGCAGAGTGCCAGCGGGTCATAGCTCTCATAGCAACCTCAATCTCTTGGGCACAAGTGATCCTCTTGCCTCAGTCTCACGAGAAGCTGGGACTACAGGTGCCTGCCACAACACCCAGCTGGTTAATCACAAATGTTTTGAATAAATTTTACTATGGAAATTACATATTTTATAGTGATTACAAAGATTACATTGAAAAATATTTCCCTTCCTGGTTGTCATGGCCAACCCACTTTTAAATTAAAAATGACCACTATGACATTTAAAACTTTTATCCAGGCTTTGATGTACAGAATTTGTTCTTAACAAACTGTTCATGTATTTAGGTGTCAGCTGAACTAAAAGGTGATTTCACTTAGAAATCAAATTTTGAAACTGTGTCTTATAAGAACTATAAAGAAGTTTTATCTAGCCTTTAAGTGACAAACAACTTAGCACCAAAACCTCTAAAAAAAAGTCAATCTTGAATTATAATTAACATAAAAGATGGAATCTGTTCGTCTATTACGGTGGACACAGAGCATGAAAAATATGCAACAATCTAATAGCATGTGGGCATCTACTGACCCATGGAAGCTTCTGCAGGACTCCACAAAGCACATGCTCTTGGGGAGGGGGGACTACTGTGGGCATTTACATATCATAAATGTGATTGCGTCAGTTTTGAGAAGAAGAAGATTATTATAGAATTATACATAAAAATCTGGGAAATGACACACCTGCAAATGCTATATGCTTATGGAAACTTATCTACCCTTCAGACAAATACTTCTGAAAATTCAGAGACAAATATATTTTATTTAAACGGTTGTCTTCACATCCTACAGAATGATATTTATAAAACTACAGGGGGGTATAAAATGAAGAATCATTTTTTAATGAAGTCAGTATATCTTATTTATGTATATTCCTGATCACTGAGAGTACCTTTTTCCTCACTTAGGAGGGTATTTTGGAAGGAGATGACAGAAAAGGGTAAAATAAGAGGCTGTAGTTTATATGAGATCTTAGCTTAGTGACGGCCTAGACGTAACATTAGTGTGAGAGGAAATTCCCCCTCAAAATAAATACTATCTTAATATCCCTTAGAATATTATTTGAGTATATAATTTTAGCATTAATACGGATATCTGTGTAAGTAAGCAGTTTCTGTTAGAAACGGCAGAAGTGTTTCAGTGAGAGCTCTGCAGAAATTGCAAGGTGGTGAGATGCTGAAGAGAAAACACAGACCAAAATGAATACCTAAGAATCATTATATATTAGACAACTATTTTAAATTGCACGTAAACTTTATGCACTATAATCTCCTCTGGGATTTGACTGTTTTTATTTGGTTGTTTTGTGGATCTTGGCTGTTCATATGGAAAATTCACAGGGTCACAATCTGTGATGTTTTACATTATTTGGACTTTATACAATGACCATTTGATTCCATGAGAAAAGGAACCAGACAGGAAACAACTGAAAAAGGAAAATAATCCCTATCTGTACTAGAATCCGATGACATCAGAGAACAATGTCCGAAGAAAAGAAAGGGAATACATTAGACAAGCCATTTTCATGCCGATAAAAGCTCTTCTTTGAAGTAATACGCATTTCTTAAGACAGCTTGCATTGAAGAAGGTAATTTCTTCTTAAAATCAGACTTATTTTATTTATCTTCATCTTATCACTCATAAGGGAGATTAAGGAAGCTCAAAACGCAGGCCCACACTGTGACTGCACCCCCGCGATGTGATGGTATGGAGGCTGAGTTTCATATTTGCTCTCAACATACGCCATGTACACCTTATTTTCAAATAATATTCAATCCTGCTTCTAATGCTGGTTTTTATTATCTTACCAAATAAGACAAGAAGCTGCAGGCAGAGAAAGAGAAAGGGCAGGGAGAGAGTAGTGGTGGTGTGGCGGTCCCCATACTCACGGCAGCAGGAGGGGAACGTGCTGTTGATCTGCTCCATGACCTCTGTGAGATCTGTGCTGGTGTCGTGTGGCGGGGCCAGCAGGTCCTCTCCCGCTGTGACAGCACAAAAAAAGAACAACCAACTTCCTAAAACTCCTATCTGGACTGTCATCAAAACCCAAATGCAAGAGAAAATACTACTAGCAGCCTCCAATTATGAAGGTGAGAAAAATTCTCATTGATAATGACAACTTTAGGGGAGAATACGGAAATCATTTTTATTTAATTAGTTGGTAATATAATTTTATATATAGTAGAACCTCTTTAAGTTGGCCTTTCAAACCACTGTAACAAACTGGTCAACATATGGAGGTGGTCGACCTAAAGAACTAGGCCAACTGTACTGACACGTAGGTGAGGTGCACGTCCTGTCCATGAAAATCAGGTCAAGGTAAGGTGGCAGTCAGTGTAGGTGTGGGTGGTCAATGTGGAGGTTCTCCTGTAGTTGCAATGTACTAGATGTTTGTGTAGAAAGGACCCATTCACCAAGGGAAAAGCAAGACTGAAAAATAAATAATACTTCATATTATTTCAACTAGCAAGAAATCTATTATTTGAGAGTATTTTTCATACAAAAAAAAATACTCTGCTAATTTTCTTTTTCCTTCCTTCTTTGTTTCTGAAGCCTTCAGTCTAGGCTAGCTTATCCTGCCACAAAGGAAAGTATCTCTTTGAGACAGAGTCTCAAAGTATCTTCTGATACTTTTTACCTTGATGTGTATTTTTACTCTATAATCAATAATTAAAGCAATTCTCTTATTCTTATTCTTCTGTTTCATGTACTAAAAGATATCCCACAAATAAACTAATTTTGTTAAAATTCTACAGTAGGATTTTAGAATTTGGATTTCACTGAGAATAAAACGTCATTCCTGAGTCCTTAGTCTACTGAGCCCTTGCTAACATCAGTGACGAGTTTCCAGGGAGCGGCAGTGACGGGCTGGGCGGGACTTCTGACTTGGACGGGACAGGTGGGGAGTGTCCACATGGATTTGGATGGAGAAAAATAGACAAATGAGCTCCAAGGCCTGGTCGGGGAAAACCATCATGTTTGGTATAATGCGGTTTAGTACTATGCTGAATATTATACTGAATATGCACAAATGTGAAATTTTAGAAATAGAAAACGTGCCTTAAAAAAGAAGACAGTGAAGAACCGACTCAAGGCAAATAAAAAATAATTTCTCACTCATTCTCAACTTTCACCAAAATTTAACACACTAATACACATTATATAAACAAATATTATGACTTGTCATTATTTTTTTTAAATTTCAGGTTAATGTGAGGGGACAAACAACTAGGTTACAATATTTGCATTTGTGAGGTAAAGTCCCTCTTGTTGTTGTGTCCCGCACCCAAGAGGTGTTCCATATGCCCTTACATTGTCCCTGTTAAATGGGAGCACACCAATCCCCTCCCAATTATTATTCGAAAAACGTATTTTATTTATTTATTTAGAGACAGAGTCTCACCATGTCACCCTGGGTAGAGCACTGTGGCATCACAGCTCACAGCAACCTCTAACTTTTGGGCTTAGGCGATTTTCTTGCCTCAACCTCCCAAGCAGCTGGGACTATAGGCACCTGCCACGACATCTGGTCATTTTTTTTTCCTGCAGCTGTCATTGTTGTTTAGCTGGCCCGGCCGGGTTCAAACCCGCCAGCCTCAGTGTATGTGGTCAGCACCATAACCACTGTGCTATGGGTGCCCAGCCAGAAAACTGTATTTTTTGATATTCCTTAAATGGATTTGCACTTATTTCAGACCAAAGATAACAAAACTCTTTATGCTCTACAGCACCAATGTAAGAATGCTACTTATCATGAAACCACACAAATAGCCAAGCACAAAGTAGCTGTGACTGGGGGACACTGACCTGCCTGGTGGAACTGTGGACCAGGGTCTGGATCCAGCGGGTAGCTCAGAGTAGAATTCTGGGGCAAGGCCCAGGGGGAGACACCATTAATTCGGGAATCAGATTCAGGCTGGAATCACAGCAGAGAAAGGATTCAAATGACTGTAAAGTAAAACATTCCCTTTCCAACTTCCCCTCCTTTACCTTGGGTAATTAAAACTAATAGAGTTCTTTGCCTTCACACAATTCCAAATACATTTTATTCTCAGTTGGGGAGGAGGCTGCTGGTATTTCACCTGAGCACCAACTGGTCCTCCCCTTTCTACCTGGGCACCTCAAAGAACTTACTTGGTTATGCTGTGAGATTGATTCATCGATGTCATTTTAATCCCTCAATTTTCTCTCTATTATTTTAATAACTGCCAAGTGAACTTAGAAACATATTTCATTCATCTTTAAAACACCAGCACTAGGCTTCTAATATACAAAATTTATCCAATTTCAAAATCAGCTCATACTTAAAGGCACTATTAGAGAGTAGTTGAGCATATGATTTTGGATTCCGATTTCTTGGATTCCAATTCCAATTTCGTTGTGTAATTCTGACAAATTATATAATCTTCTGTGCCTCAGACTCTTTATTTGTAAAACAGAACTGGTAATAACAGTGGCTGTGTCACAGGGCCTTGGGAGGGGAGTGACGAATTACTATATCTAAAACGACGAGAAGAGTCTGTCACCGAGTAAATACTTTGTAAATGCACGCTTTCACAAATCTTTGAAACAGTGGTGGGTATGTTGACAAGTACATGATCAAATTAGAAAGTGTGATCCACTATACAGGGAACACAGAAGTTATGATTTTTTCAATACAGATTTTTTAAGTAAGTCTATATTGATTGGAACCTGGTAGTTTTGCCAGTTTTCCCTATCAGAGTTGAATTTTCCATCTACTCCTGGCATTCATCACATGAACCATTAAGAAGAGATCAGAGTCCTACAGTCTGGGATACCCAGAGCCAGTGAGATACCTGCTGTGTCTGCGAGCAGTACTGTGCAATTCTCAAGGCATGTGAGCCATTACGCAGTGCTGTCTAGTGGGAGGGAGAACAGGGGAAGGGAAGAGTGAGCAGAAGAACCTTTGGCTCTACCAAGAACATCAACAAACCATGGTGAATAAAGGTTTCACACATGGCTTCCTTTTGCAGTGACTCTTCATATGCACTAAGTTATTAACACTAACACTTCATAATCTATTTCTTTTTTTTTTTTTTTTTTTGAGACAGAGCCTAACTTTGCCTTCCTTGGTAGAGCGCCATGACGTCACAGCTCACAGCAACCTCAAACTCTTAGGCTCAAGCCATTCCCTTGCCTCAGCCTCTCAAGTAGCTGGGACTACAGGGGCCTGTCACAACGCCCAGTTAGTTTTAGAGACGGGGTCTTGCTCTTGCTCAGGCTGGTCTTGAACTCCTGAGCTCAGGCAATTGATCCACCCATCTTGGCTCCCAGAGTGCAAGGATTATAGGCATAAACCACCATACCCAGCCTACACTTCATACTCTATATAAGAGAGATTTGGAAACTTTAAATTTGTAGTAAGAACAAAGTAATTTTCTAGTGTATGTGACTGGTACTGAGGTGAGTACACTCAAACATTCCAGACAGCTTCTTGAAAGCCAGCATTTGGGTAGCTCTTGCAGAATTTTTATTTTCTAAAGATATAGAATCTGGAGGCTCTGAAGTAAGCCTTCCACAGAATAGTCTCACACACATTTCTGAAACAGCACGAAACATATAAAGTATGTGGTCCAACTATGAAGAGTGGCCTGTGGCCCACTATGTAGGTAACACAGAAATTATAGTGTTTTCAATTACTCTGACAAGTTAAAAAGACATGGCAACTGCAAAGGGATGGTTTTCCAAAATTTGAGAAGATCACTGGAGAGAAAGTTGCTTCTGCTTTGAGTCGATATATTGTTTCTGGCCCCCTTTCACGCTGCCTAGGGGCCCCACGCTGAACTGGCTAGAGAAAGAGGCCCAAGATGACATAAATGTTGATGGCAGGGATTCTGCAAGTGACAGGAGCTCCTGGCCCCATTCTACACTCTGTGAACCTGTGGCAAAGGTTTCTCCATCACTAATTCTGTGACAAGAGTCCTAGCTACTATGCGTGATCAAGAACTTCATCTTCTGCAGTGTGTTGTGTCTCTTACAGGTGATACTACCTTGTTCTACATGCTTGTTTATATGATGCCATCTCGTTACGGTCCCTAACAAGACTGTGGACACAGAAAGGCAGAAACTATACTGATGCTTCTGTTACATCCCACAGACTGGTGTTCCTCAAAATTGAAACTATTACCCATCGGTGAGTTAGAGAATCAACTCACTAGGTCCTGACCAGCATTAAGAAAGAAAAACAGAAGACGAAGAAAAGGAAGAAAGGAAGGGAGGGAGGAAGAAAGGAACAAGAATAGAAAACAGAGTTGGCATTTTCCTACAAAGGTAAGCATTATCTTGTCCTCATCCTCCAGGTGTGTATTCATCATAATGTAAACTGCATTTCTTACTGTCAGGGAAGTTTGCAAGCAACTGCCATAAAACACGATACAGTGTTAGGGAATAACAGTGGCAAATTAATAACCATCTGGTACTTGATTTCTTGAAAATAGAAAATAATTATTCCTGGAGTCAGTGTTTCCAGCTCATTGGAAGAAGCTTTAGGATGCAGATTTCAGGTCACTTGCTCTCCCTTTATCTCCACAGATGCTTCCCATGTGTAATTTAAGCGGATATATGTCTTTCCCCACAAACAACTCAGAGCGGAGATAGATTTCAGTGTCAGCACGGGAAATTCCACCAGAAGCTGTGCAAACGCATTTTTTGTGCAAAAGAGGATTTAATGCTTACATGTGCAGGGAAAAAAATTCTAAGCCGGTCTAAATTAAGCATGGAGGTGAGAAATTTAAAGTGGACCTCTTTATCCCTACTGACACCTGGCCCAAGTCCCAGGGCCACGGACAGGTGGCGTGGGGAAGTGCGACACCGAATTCTGCACACCCTACCTGCTCCAGCAGCTGTCGGAGGCGGTGGAGCTGAGACTCCAGCTGTTTGTTGTGATCTTCTAGAATCTGCATCCGAGCCTCCAGCCGTCCTTTGTGCTGCCTGAGGAGTTTGGCTTCGGCTATAAGTTCTGAATCCTCCGACGTGTGGTGTGGAGACACGATGGAGTCCGGGGGTGACCCGACGGGGAGCCCCCTTCTCAGGTGCTGCTCCTTCAGCTGCTCGTATTCCACCTGCAGATTTCTGATGCAGAAAAGGAAAATGGAGCGAGTCACTGCTGTCTTCTCTCCAAAGTTGTCTGTGAGCTTCCAATTTAAAGTTAGCTCATGCTATATCCTTATGTAAACATCTGTATTACCAGTCAGAAGGGAGTATGTGAATAGAACTGTATCTTTAAGCAACTAGATGCCATCACCAATCCCCAATCACAGATCTTTAATGTCCTCTAACTTGACTCTGCTATGACTTCATGGACAGAGAATGGGTAACGGCTGTGTTAGATTCACATGAGAGAGAAGATGATGTATTTTCTTCTCCCTGGCCTAGCCCACCTTTGTTCTTCCTCCAGGTCAGCGATGATCCGCTCCAGTTCTCCGCGTTCTTCCCTTTCCACTGACTTCAGGATCTGAGCTGGGCTCTGCGGCTGGCTCACCGGGGACTCCCCTCCGAGTGTCTGACAGTACTGCTGGATGAGGGCGTGCTCGTCCTCCCTAGTGACAAAGGAACAGACCCAGAGGTTCACAACTGCACAGTGACGTGTCTGGACACAAAGGAAGCAGAAACAATGATGACCAAGATGGCAGCCGGGCCAAGTTCGCCTTAGAGCTCAGTCTGGCCATCACTTTCCTTTTAAAACTCTAGGAAGAAATTCATCTAACAGTGCATGTATATTATATCCATGTATAAGCCAACATTTCAGAGTCTAATGGCTCTTATCTTACAAACCTCGGAAGAGATACTTTACTCAGCAGAGGAAATAAAAATAAGGCAGAACACTTAAACAGTTAATATAAAAGACAGTGTAGGCAAAAATCTATCAGCAAATGCCCAAAGAGTAGATTAAAAGACCATTGAGTAAGAATAAGCTGCCTTTAGCATCTGGTTGAAAGCAATTTCGAAATGCATTGTAACCCATATAATGGGGTTTATAATCTTTATGGCTTTTATTTAAATAAATCAGCACAAATTATAATTGTAGATTTTATGAAATATCTACCAATATCTACTGGATCATATCAGTAGGTCACTTTTAGGCTTGATATTCTGCATCTGAATGAGAAACAACATCTAATTCACTTGGTTCTCCCACTTACCTAACTAGTAGTAATGTGGCTGAATGAACGGCTGACATGGGTGGAAGCATAATAAAGCAACAAAGTTGACACATTTATGGCACGGAGATGCTTCACAGTAGGCCCAGATTTTCATGAGAGAGAGATCTTTCTTTAGAAGAGAGATCTCCCAACTAATGGTAGCAGGAGATCACTTTAGAGCAGACTGTCCTTGGTCTGTTTTGATAGATTTTTGCACATAAGCCCTGGAATATATGAATTTATAGGCTAGGGCATCAGGAAAACCTGACCTAAGTTATGTAGCTATTAGAGTATAAAATGGAGTTGTCCCATGACTGGAGCAGTCCCTACTTGTATAAGCCACATGGCTGTAAATATCCCTTAGAGACGTCCTCTGGTACTCTGGGATCAGGGTGTATCCTAACGCAGCCAGAAAGGATCTGCTCTCCAGTCCTGGCAAGCCCTGGACCTCTCGACTTCTCTTGAGCCTTGCGGTTTCCTGTGCCCCTGGACTCACTAGTAATGTCTGATGTTAGGCAAGAGCTCTAGATCTTGGGATTCTGCCTTGAAAATCCACCTCGGTGTTATTGCACTTTACTCTGACAAAGAGGGGACTGGAAATTTTATCTGAAGATTAGCTAATTATTAGAAAAGCATCATCCTGAGCACTGACATCAGAGAGAGAGCGAGAGATGAGGACGCAAAGAGAAAAACGAATGTTGGGGTGTTACACTGGCCAAGAAGCCAGACCAGAGGGTCAGATGAGCCCCTTGATTCATCTTGCTTCTTCTATCAATGAAACTCCCCCTTTTCTGTCCTTCTCTAGATATATAGAGATAGAGAGGGAATATGTGCATGCGTTTATACATATGTATACATATTTAAATTAAGTTCACTCGCTTTGGTTAAGATCAAACAAAGATACCAACTTCACCTTCCGGCTTTTGTCAAATACATTTCAAAAGGGATTTGGGGTGAAACTCTTATAGTTGGAAACATGAAATAAGGAACACGAATGGGATGAAGATTAGAGCAGTGATTTTCAGATGGTGTGCCGCAGCACACTGGTGTGCCCTGAAAATTTTTAAAGATCATTAATTAAATTATCTGTGAAGGAAGTTCAAGGCACAGTAAGTCTATGCCTTTCTTATTACCTTTTGTTTGATTGCCATCATTTAAGTGTGCCCTGAAAGTTTAACTATAGGTTCGGTGTGCGGTGAGATAAAAACAGTTGAAAAACAGTGGATTAGAGTAACCTACGGCATCATCCTTTGATTTCCTTTCCTGAGAAAATGCAGCATCACTGGGAAATAAATGAGGGAGCCTCTCGAAGAATCCAGGCTGATTCTAGGTTCAGAAGCGTGAGGAGAAGAAGAGGAGAGGGTGGGTACTCCACCACCGCAGAGAGGAGCATTTGAAAACAGATTGAAAAGCTCCTGATTGCCCATTTAGCCAAATCAAACAGAAACCTGGCAGTGATGTGTGTATGTGTGTGTGTCTTCCTGATAGGAAGTAAATGCCCAATGCCCTAACCTTGCTATGTTATGCAGGGGCAGAAGCAGGCTGTGAGACGAAGGGCTCAACACCACCGAGACACCAATTAGCAAAGGATCACGCAGCACTAAGCCAGTGACACCTGGAGGCACCTCACCAGCGCACGTGGGGTGCACGTGGGGAGAGAGGCAGCAGAGGATGAAAATGACAGAGCTGAATATGGCCAGGACAAATAGACAAAACAAAATAATAGCAAAATAAGAGCACAGTAGAACGTTTCGTAAATACGTGTCAGGAGGAGAAAGATCTGCATACAGTTAGAAACTGAAAAGACAGCGAATCTGAAAAATAGTAACAAAGGAACATTCGTACAAATCCTTGGGAAATGTCTATATTTTAATGTTAAAGAATCATAAGCAATCAGCCAGAAATCAGAAATAAAAAAGTCATTTCTAGACTAGGTTTAATCTCCTACCTTCTATAATATTAAATGTCTAATCACAATGGAACATGATCTAGAGTCCTACCTAACCCAGCCATTCATACGACGAGGCCGGCCATTCATTTACCCAGGCAAAGGCCTTTGTCCATGTGGCAAAACAAAGAATGAGTGAGGACAGGGCAAAATAGAATAAAAATAAGATGGTGATTCAGGTGTTACAATAAATAAGAAGTAAACTGGTTCTTGCGCCAGTTAAAAAAATAATCAATTATATGAAATCTGTGAATAATATACCCAGAAGAAAATAAAGACTGAACTTAAAAGTTAGAGAAGTAACAGAAAGATAACAAGAATTAAAAGAAAACTTGGGTCTCTGAATCTGCCTGGTAATCCGGTGGCCACAATTTGATCAGGGATTGTGGCACAGAGTTTCTCTGATATCACAAGGCACCATTATGTTATTTATGCCCTTAGAACATGAATACAGTGCCTGCATCAGGGATTAAATATAGTGCTCAATATTAAAGCAACTAAATTTTTGTTCTACAGAGCTGAAATTAGATTTGAGATGCATTTTTGTTGTCAAAATTTACAGAGGTTCACTTCTCTGGGGCAGTTGATGGGGGTTAACGTATTATAATTATCATCACCACTATCATTATATTCTTTCATTAAGGGCATCTGGAAAATAATTATGGCAATTTTCACAAAAATAGGAATTTAAAAATCATTTACATATAATGTACAATTTTAGTCTTCAGTGTTTTTCACACATTATTAAGTCTAAAAATTAAATATAAAAATAGATACATTCCAGTTCTTAATTATACACAGTAAAAACCCAGAGTACACTCTTTCAAGGCAGGGAGAGCATGAGTTACCAGATTAGGGTCATTAGACATCAATCGTATGTCTTGTGTTAAAATAGAAAACATTGCAAAAATACAGGTCTGCGTGAACAAAGCCATCAGATGGACTAGGGTTAGACTATAATTAAGTTACTCATAGTAAATACTATCTAGATTACAAAGTTAGTACACAATGGCAAAATTAGTACAGATGACAAAAGAACTGTGATTCATTCATTGAGCTTTTGAAAGTAGACAGGATGCAGATAAAAATAACAAGGATCTCCTTCCTTTTAAGGATTATTTTGTTCCAGGCTTCAGATATACAAATTGCAATGCCAGTGCAAACCAGAGGCAGCCTCCCCATTCAATCCTTCCACAGAAATCATTGTCACCCAAGGGCGGAGGGCAGATGGGAATGAGTCAGCAGTGGCTTAAGGAACTATTGTCCTTGGGTTCCTCCTTCTGAGAGTCCCCAGAGCCATCATGGGTTTTGGACCTTTCTGAGACTCACATGGTTGCTCAATTCTTCCTTCAAAGATACTTAGTATCCTCAAAATTTATTTCTTATTAAATTGTCCAGAGTCGTCTTTCAGAGAAACAGGGAGTATTGGGAATCGGGTCTAAATATGGAAAAAATGCCATCAATAGTGGTTCATAGTCTCGCCCATGGTACATGGAGGTGCAACCAATAATTAACTCACTCCACGAAAGATGAAGCCATGGGGATCAGAGAATTTCTCCCATGGGTCAATTTGAAGGAAAGAGTCTCCGACTGCAGGCAGAATGGCTGCTTCTGAAGACCCAGAATGAATAAAAGGGCCTTCAATAAAAACAGAATTACAACTCAAATTTCAACATTCTTACCTCAAAGCATAGGGCTTTCTTTTATTGCTGAATATTTGTGTGACTGAGGTCACTCAAAACCAAACATAAGAGTTTGATTTTGATCTAGCAGTTTGCTGGATTAGAAAACTTTCTAAATTGAAAACCTGGTTAGGTCTTGAATGTGAAGGGGGTGTTGATGAGACCAGGCAGAATTGGCAAAGGATGGTGACAACCTCCAGGAGAAATGGAGAGACCTGCACATCCCTGACCTCTGCACCAAGGGAGGGAGGTGCCCTCCATCCTATACAGCAGAGACAGTGCCATGGCTTGGCCAGGGCACCCCATGCCTGGAGCCAGCACTCTTGGCTCTGAACCCAAGTTCTACCACTGACTGACTGTGAGACCTTGGGCGAGTTTTTTAACCTCTCAGGGCTTCCATTTACTCATCTGTAAAATGGTGCTAACGATGTGGGGAAGGGCACCCTCTCAAAGGGTTTTATGAAATTAAACAAAGTTGGGCAACATACTTGGAATAGGACCGGCTCTGAGTATGTTCTAAGGAAGAGGCAGGGTGGCTTTTTTTGTATCATCACAGTTATTATTCAAGAATAATAAAACCTCAAGAGATGCCTAGGGGTAAAGTAGAGAATTTAAGAAAGGAAAAAATTTCTAAAAGTATCACGGATATCGGTTAACATATCACTTTTTGCTTAAATTGCCTTGAATTGATTTTTAATCTTTCTCAACAGTAACAAAACTTCTATTACCTTGACATTGGCTACCTCTAGATATAGTTCTGAGAATGGAGCAAAAAGCTTTCTTGAGAAGCCACTGACCCCTCATTCAGAAGCTGACTGTACTGTTAGGTGGTCTGGAAAACTGCCATCCACTCTCTCCTAGGACGGCATCAGGACCCTACCAATGCTAGAGCCTTCAGAAACTTCCCAGGAAAGGCCAGGGTGTCAGATTATCTTGCATACTTCCTGCGACAACTACTACTGTAGCATAAGGTCTTGTCAGGGACAGATGTTTGTCCTTGGGGCAGAGGAGAGGGGCAGTGCAATTTCCAGCAGGACTTTGTTTGGGATGCACTGTCACTGAGGACTTTGACGGCACTCAGACTTGGCTACCTCACAAACACCTGTGCTTCTCTGTAGGATCCAGAGTGCCAAAGGCCACCACCACCTGTCCTGCTGTGGCCCTGGGGCATTAAATAGCCCAGTCTAGGACTTGTCCAAGGAAAGTATAAATTCTGGGCTAGAACTATGGGTAGGAAACGGGTATTTTTCCTCTAAGTGACAGAAATTCAGAGTAGAAAAAGGAAACTTGGGTGGTGCCTGTGGCCCAAGGAGTAGGGTGCCGGCCCCATATGCTGAGGGTGGTGGGTTCAAACCCAGCCCTGGCCAAAAAACTGCAAAAAAAAAAAAAGAGCTACTTAGGGATAAACATATCTACCCAAAGGGCAGACTGCACTGTGGTGAGTTCAATGTCCTTGATGTTTTAACTTAAACCTGTATCTCAAAAACTTCAATAACCTTCCTGCCACCCTCCTAAATGCCGTAATATCACTGACTAAATTAAAAAGTTTCTGTCTAGCCAAGGAAACAATTAAGACAGCAAATAGGCAAACTACTTAATGAGAGAAAATATTTGTATGCTATATATCCAATAAAGAGCTATTTATCCAGAATCTGCAAAGAACTCAAACTAACGAGAACCCCCTATCCCCCCAAAACCTGCCTCATTAAAAACTGGGCATAAGATATGAATAGATTTTCAAAAGAAAACAGACAAATGTCCAATAAACATATGAAAAAATGCTTAACATCACTAATCATCAGGGAAACGCAAATTAAAACCACCGTGAGATACTACCTTATACTTGTCAAAATAGCTTTTATCAAAAAGTCCCCAAACAATAGATGCTTGTGTGGATGCAGAGAAAAAGAACACTTACATACTGTTTGTAGGACTGCAAATTACTACAACCTCTATGGAAAATAGTAGATCTACCTATTGGATATATTCAATCCAGCAGTCCCACTACTGGGTGTCTTTACCCAGAGGTAAAGAAGTCATTTTATCAAAAAGACACCTGCACTCATGTGGTTATTACAGCACAATTCACAATTGCAAAGAGGTGGAATCAACCTAAGTGCCCATCAGTTCATGAGTGGATTAACAAAATATGGCATATGTATGCCATGAGCTTCCACTCAGCCACAAAAAGGGTTGAATTAATACCTTTTGAGACAATTTGCATGGAACTGGAGACCATTATCCTAAGTGAAGCATCTAAAGAATGGAAAAGCAAATGCCACATGTACTCACTATGAGACTGGAACTAACTGAGGAGTACTCATGTGCACAGAGGGGGCAGCGGGTAGGAGGGGAGGGGCAAAGTTAGGGTGACCAGATTTTAACATCAGTAAGGCAGGACAACATGGCCGAGGGGGGTGGGGCAGGGGACGGGGCAGGGCAGGGCCTGACAACAATGCAAACTTTGATAAGCAGTTCTTGATAATCACTTCTCAGCAATTATTTATTATTATTACAGTTTAACATTATAAAATTAACAAAAATAATATAAAACTCATATTCTGGCGAAATAGCCACATGGCAGCTGAAAACTGTATATTATATTCCCTTCTTGTTCTCCCGCCCATTTGTGCATTCTTTCCAAAAATCGGGACTTTTTAAAAATGCTGCGGGACGTCTGGTCACCCTAGGCAAAATCCACCTAACAGGTGCAATGAACACTGTTTGGGTGATGGACACACTGAGAGCTGTGACTCAGCATTACAAAAGAGATCTGTGTAACCCCAAACACTCGTACCCCCTCACTCTTATGTCCTACAACTTTTCTCTCTACCTTACAGCTTCCCACTAGATCCACACAGCAATGAGCCTGTTGTAAGTCACATCAACTTGACACTAGTGAAATCTTTTAGGTATCACTCAGAATCAGAAACATGAATTCCAAGGAAGAAGAAGAGGAGGAAGAGGAGGATGTGCAGAAGAAAGAGGAGGAGGAGGAGGAAAAGTCCCCAAAGTAAGGTGACACATAGAATGAGATAATCAGAGATAAAATATTTGCTACAGAAGTTCCACAACAAGTCGATTATCCACAAATTGGGAAATCCAAGATAAAATGTTTAGCTAGAAAGCTTTTCAAAAGGCGTTCTGAAGTCAACAAGTCTTTTCTTAGTTGCTAATAAAACAAAATATTGTCAGAGGAGTTAACACTTTTGAAAAGAAGGGTGGTGGGGAGTATGTGTCTAAGCACATGTGTGTTCAGAACTGGTAAATGCAGACGTCATGGAGAACATGTTAACGCGTGGAAGGGAGAGAAATTTACAGCAAGGGCATGTAATTCTGTGGAATTCCCTTTGTTAAACAAACAAGAAATCTGAGACAAAGGGAATGAATATACTCCTGTTATTCCAAATAAAATAATCTGATTTTCCTAAGGTAGATTAGCTGACCAAGGTAGGATTTTTTCATTCATTTATATAAAACAAAGTAAATAAACATACCCAATTTATGCTATTGTGGCTTGAAAGCATAAAATCTACGTGGACACTTATGGCAGGACACTTAATCAATTTTGATTGGGATCAAAAGGCAGAGCCACAGTCAATGACAATTATTTCTAATAGCTGTAACAAAAGAAACAGCTTTCCCAGGCAATGCTGATTTCACGATTTACTTACACACTTCCTGTAGTCGAGCTGCTATCAGTGAGAAAAGATCCGTTAGTCTTTTCCATCTGGGCCAGTCTACAAAAGAAATGAAAGTGGTTAGATAATGTGGCCACAGGTAGGACATGGTCAACTGGAGGGATAACCTCCGTCATTCTTAAACTGTCAAAATTCCAACACAACATGGAAAGGGACAAATCTCTTAACAAGACAGTAAAATTAAAACATCAATGCTGAGTTACATTTCTATGAACATTGCCTTAAAGCCTGTAGGCCTCGGTCTTATGCCATGTTGTTTAGGCTCCTAAATCGGCAGGCCCCAAACCCCGGGGCCACAGACCAGTATCGGCCTATTAGGAGGTGGGTCTACCTCATTCTACCTCTCACCCATCCCTGAACCCCCATCCTTCCCAACCTCCCGTCCATGAAAAAATGGTCTTCCATGAAACTTAGGAACCAGGTAACACAGCGGGAGATGAGTGGTGGTGATGAAAGCAGCTGTGTTTACAGCTGCCCGCTACTCCCCACTGCTCGCCTCGCTGCCTGAGCTGCCTACCCACCCCTCATCCACGAAAAAACTGTCTTCCGTAAGTTGGTCCCTGGTGCCAAACAGGTGGGGACCACTGTCCTGGCCATCTCCCACACCTAGGCTCTAGTTAGCCCTTTCATTGGTCTTCTACATGAAAGTGAGGGCTACATTTTCACAAAAATCTAAAGATGTCCCTTTCATGCTTTAAGTCTCTCTCCGACTTCCCTTTTCCTAAGGACATGAGCCAACTCCTGGGCAGCTGGGCTTTCCTTATCAGACCTCACGGAGCGGCCCCCCGAGCTCTCACTGCTCTCCTCTTCCCTCCCTGCTGTTTAGGAAACAAGCCATGTTCCTTCCCAGCTCAACGATTTTCACTGTATTTTTCCATCTGCCCCAGTCTGCTTCTTCCCAAAATTATACTTGGCTCAGACCCAATTCAAATGTTACTACTTTTATGCTGCTTGAACCTTTTTAGGCATACGTAGCTAGTTAATAGGACCATAGATGCTTAGTATGCACCACTTTTCTGAAAAGAAGACATTGGTTACTCAGGTATCTGCAGGGGCCTTTTCACTCAATTTGGGCCTGCCACCAAATTCAGCCTGCATTTTATATTATTTAGGGACTCTTAAAGCCCTGTCCTTAAGGCATTAGCATAAATTTAATTACATATTGTAATTCATATGTGCACCATCTCCTGAGAATTCTTTCAATCCCACTTTCACTCGCTGAAACTGGGTTGCATTATCTAAATCCTGCTCGTGCAGTGTTTGGAGTTTCATGAGCTCGATAATCACACCCTATTGAGATTTACTTTTCATAGGATGTACAGCAGGTGTTTGGTGAAGTGCAAATTGCAACGTGAAAAGATGAGAGCCCAGATTCCAAATATATCGGAGTCACGACTCCTGCAAAACGACATTCCTTAAATCAAGATATGTATAAGCTACTGGTGTCACATTAATTAGAAACAGACACACTTTGGGCACCAATGTGGCAGCAGGCTCGGGTTGGAGCTTCTTACCGTGTGGCGTATTGTTCTATCCTGGAATGAGTGTCATCATGAAACAGCTGAGGAGACTGAGAGGGGCTTTAAAGGAAAAAAAAAAGGCAACAATTTTATGTCCAAATATTGAGAATTATTGCTATTAGAAATGTTAGCTTAGTTAAATAATGAATTTGCCATGCAAGAAAACCACTAGGATTGTTACCCAGGATGCAGAAATATTTTAGACCAAGAGTTTAGTAATCAGCCCCACGCGAACACCTGATCAGAACACGGGCTCCTGCACAGGCTGGGAATACTCACTCATAGTGCTCTGGCCACATACTGATGAGGGTGATAGGACTGCAGAGAGGGAGAGGGAAACAAGAGTCACAGAACAAACATCTGAGAGCAACGGCGGACGAAAACAGTGGAGGGGCTGTGGAAGATTTTCAATTGTCTTCTACTCAAATATTTGGCTGCCCTGTGACTTACCACAGGGAAATCAAAAGTCACAGAAGTCACAGTTGATTCTAGGGAAGATGTTGTGTATTCAGGTACCTGCAGGGGCCTGTTCACTATTTGTTACAGGGCAGCAAACACACCTTTAACAGCCTTACGTGGGGGGGGGGGGAACCAGACAGGCCAAAATAGCTCAAAATTACAGAATAATTTTAAGATAATGTTCTATCATATATCCGGGGGGGGGGAATGCAAGCATGTGTTTGTTTTTCCTGGAGAAAGAACTTAGTCAGAAAAGTGAAGTAAAAATTTAAAGCATACCTTCTATGCTGATGGCAGAAATGTCATAAAATTAGATCTCCCTGACTCTTCACCTGATTTTAAGTGTAAAAATTCAAACCCAGGTGTACACGGAGCACCTCAACTTTACAGACACACTGAGAAAACACGAAGCTCAGACATCCCGTAGCCCTCTTGCCAAAAATGCCACCTCATCTGTGAAGCTGAACACACTTCTGCAGATCACGACACGCTTTCATCAAGTAAAATTTTATACAAAAGCTCAATCTATGAATCAATACAGGAAAGCTTGTTCTTTTTGAGTCCCAAGCAGATCATTTAGTATCAGTCTTAGCCCCGGGGTATCTCTCAATCTTACATACTGAAGGAATCCTCAAGCCCCTCTACCCCTACTTTGAGCTAGCTTTTAATTTAGATCAATTGTTTATACTTTTGGAAACAACTAGTTCAGTCTACCTTTTCTGAGGAAGGAGTAACTTAAATTAGCTTTCTATTTAAAAAATAAGTAATGTCTCCTGTAAAAGTTAATGGTGACTGAAAGAAAATCATTCCAAGTCTACTTGATTTTTTATTTCAATTATACATATATACTTAAGAAATGTATGTATGTATGATATATACTCTTCTCATTATCACCTACTATAAAGTGCATGTTGTATGTCTGCATAGCCAAGAGTAAAAAGAGATGGGATGTCATCTTATTGAGAGTAAAAAAAACTAAGACTCTTTGGACCTACTTTTGCTGTTTGTCAGAAGGTACCTGGTATTATCAGTACACTTAATTATAGGTGCATGAAATAGATACGAGAACAACAAAACAATGAAGTATTACTTAATATTTTTTTATATTGCTACATTTCATTAAGTTTGAAACAGAAATGTTAAATATCAGATGTATCACTTGCTATACATTTTCTAAAAACAGTAACTGCTTAAGAGATTATTTCTAAGATTTAAGTGTACTAAAACATTTGCCATGAACTTTAAATAGAAGAAAAATATGTATTTTTGATCTTAATCTTCCTTGGAAAAGCCTTGTGAAACTGCTCGACTGGTTCTTGTAAAGTTAATCCAGTTAGCACAAAAATGATTCATGAACGATGATAAGAATGGCAAGGGCAGGCAGTTAAACTAAAGAGTTTCTCTGCAAGGCTTTTGATTTTTTATATCTTTTAAAATTAGTATTTTTTGATATATTTTAAATATGTATATATTTTTGGAAAATTTCCAAGAAAAGAAATAAAGATAAAAAAGTCCAACTCTAGGCTTCACTGACTTCAAAGTATTTTGATGTATAGGAAGAAAAAGTTAAGTTTACGTGATAAGCTAGCTCATTTAATTCTGAAAAGAAAAAAAAACAACTGTGCAGGTAGACTCTATGATGAAAAGGAGTTCAAAAGAAGACAGATGTGTGTGTGGACCCAGACTTTATAATGCAGCACATCCCTGCTTCCCAACGGGGCGGCTGAACGGAGTGTTTTGGTCAATCACATGTTAATACTCGAAGAATCAGATTCTACCACATATACTTAACGTTATATGAAATGTAACCAGACTTTGAAGATTTTAGGGACCCTTTTAGAGTCTTAAATTCTCACCAGATGACTCCTCATATTCCCTGTCCTTTGCCTTTTCTGTCCACTTGCTCCAGACCAGGGTAAGTGAGATCCCAGGCTCTCTTACGGGAAGACCCTCAGTGGCTCTCCATAGCTCTCAGGGAAGATAAACCCCAGGCCCTCGGCGTGGTGTAGGAGGCCCCCCAACATCTATCTGGGTCCAGCTTCTTTCTCCACTTTCATTTCTTGCCACTATTCCCAGCTCCCCAGCCAGTTTTCAAAACCATCCTACCTTCAGGCTTTTGAAAATGCTTCCTTTGGCGAGAAATTATAGGTCTCCCCCTCCCACACCAAACACTCAACACGTGGCCCTACTAGACTTTCAGATCTCAGCCTCGCTGTTGCCCCTCCCATTCCAGGGCCACTGCAGCCATTGTTATGTTTACAAGGCCTAAAACAAGAATCACTAAACTCACTTATTCTACTTTGACCTATACAGGGAAAGGTGTCTATTTTACTTTTTTAATCTTTAGGGAAACCAACCTACTTTTTAAATCAATAATAATCTCTCACGACTCTCAAATGTAGCTGCTGTCTTAGCTTGTATCTCAAGTTTATTTCCAACGGTCAATTATTAATCAAACTCTATTCATTTGTATTGATTTATTTTTAGAAAAAATTTTCATAGTTGTGAAGTTAAGTAAATGAGGGGTTTGTTTACCTGTCTCGGTAATAACTCATTTTCCCCATAAATCCCCTTTGTGGAGGCATGCATAATTACTGGGCAGGGGATAAGACATTATGTTTTGCAAGGAAGAAAGAGACAGAGGCAATAGAAAATTCTAATCAGCTTCATAAGTAACTTCAACACATTTACCATTTCACTGCTTTTTCTCCAATGTTTGCCTCGCACAAATAGGAGAATAAACAAAATCTAGCTTTACCACCCGCTCACATAAATTGTTACACCAGAAGATTAAGTGGCCCTATACTAAAGAGGGTGTCCCGAAAATGGACTACACCAAATCCAGAGAATTGGGTCACCATTAAAGAAAGAAGAAAACCTGCCCCCTGTTCCGGTTGCTCAATGAACCTTTTCCAATAAGGATCTTATAGCATCTGATTTAATCTTATACTCTCCTTCCTTTCTTTCTCTTGTTTCCTCTCCCTGAAAATGCTGGTAAATTCAGGCTCAATAAGGGGAGGCATTTTCAGAATTATAATCCCCAAAGCACAGCACAAAACTATTTGGTATTTTTAATTTAAAAGCGTCATTCGGAATAGAATGATTGATGCCAATGATTATTTTTCCATGGAAAGGAAATTTTTAAAAATCTTTAAAAGGAATATAAAAGATGCATCTTCTCAAAAAAAAAAAATGCATCTCTTGGCATGATTTGGGACACAGAATGCCAGTGGTTTACCAGAAGAGCGAAAGCTACACCATTTAATTCAAACTTATCCTGTTCAAATTATCCTGTAAATTAAAGCACTATGAAATAATTCTATACCTCACAATTATCCATTCCAAATGCTAATTGAATCAGATACAAAGAGAAGTAAAATTTTATCTTTATCATAGGTGTTTAGCACAGTTTCACTATTATTCGATACTAAAACAAGTAAGAATATGTTATCATACAATCTTGTGGGAAAAAGGATAAGAGTACATTCACAAAACAAAGAGGGAACCAAAAATCTACCTTTCCTGAGTGTATTTTACTTATTTATTATTTATTTTTTTTGAGACAGAGCCTCAAGCTGTACCCCTGGGTAGTGTGCCATGGCCAGCAACCTCTAACTCCTGGGCTCAAGCAAGTCTCCTGCCTTGGCCTCCCAAGTAGCTAGGATCACAGGCACCCGCCACAGTGCCCGGCTATTTTTTGGTTGCAGCCATCATTGTTGTTTGGCAAGCCCAGGCTGGATTCGAACCCTCCAGCTCAGATGTGTGTGGCTGGTGCCTTAGCCACTTGAGCCATAGGCACCAAGCCCCTGGTTGTATTTTAATAGCTAGCTGTCTTCAAACTGAAATTGCTTTAATAAAATTTGTTCTAAATTCTACCATGCCAAATCTGATTAGGAAGACATATATCTTAATTGTACATAGTTTGATATCAACCAGAGTTATCAAAAAGTTTAAATTCTTCCTTATGCGCTGTATGTGTTATATATGCACCTATCCACATAGGCATCTGTGTTATAGATCTTTCTGTATACCACACATGATGTTACCTACAGAGGGATAACCATCTCTACCATGCTTTGGTGGTGGTCTTTCTTCTCCAAAAAGAAGAATCAGACTAAATTGTTTCTTCTTCTCTTTTGATATCTGAGACACTGAGTGTCATAATACACTGGAATATTTCTTAGATTGTCTCTCAGATAGTATAAAATAAAATGAACTAGTACTTTTGAAGGTTAAAGAACGTTTACTTCACAAAAATTGAATTCAAGACATTTGTTATACTTCTTTCTTATGACAATTTTCTGGGCTGTATGAAGTAGAAACTTCATACTTCACTCTTGTGGGTAAACTCTTCTTCTATAGTCATTTGAAAAGGTGTGTTTCCCTGACTTGAATGCAGATATATTTTGTGACCAGAAACTCTGGTGATGACTATCAATAAAAGTTCATTTTCCCCAAGATTTACCCATAAGAAAATGGCCTGAGATGAAATATTTATGCCGTTATCTTTAGAAGTGATTCAAAGATTTAAAATCATACTTATTTTGATCTTGATATATAACTGTTTAGTAAGTTAAAATTACTTTTCTGAATCTCTTCTCAGGTTAGAAATTCTTTATTTCCTCTGCATTATAATCCCGTGGTATTTTATTATCTTCTAACTTTCATTTTTGCTTGTCAACTCAAATATATGCTATTGAAAAGAAGTTTGTATATTTTATGTGACATGTAAAGCTATCTCATTTTGCTGTTTTCATTGTCAAGGAAAAAATTGATTAGAGACATAATGTGAGATTTTTACAAGATTTCATCATAGCTATGTATCTGAAGCAAGAGATTAAGTATTATTAATAAATTTATATTAAAAAGTCATAAAATAAATGTAAAACATACTATTAGAAATAACAAAACAATCCTCTAAGAGGGGTACAATGGAAAATAAAGGAAAGAGTCAAAGACCCTATAATACCACAATTTGATTTAAATAATTTTAAAAGAAAAAGAGATGACCAAATAAAAAGCAAGACTAATGTATATTAAGGTTACCACATGACTACATATGTATTTTAAGTCCAGAAACATATGTCAGGTTAAACCTGGACTCTTGGCTGTGACATTATCAAAAGCAAATAGTAAAAACTCATATCGTGAAGACTAATTCCAAGTTTAATTTACCTCTTTCACAATGAGACATTTTACCAAAGACAAATCTTTTCAGTATTAAATAACTTCTCGTGTCGCTACCATAAAATAAAAGAAAACATTGGACATAAATGTTCATAAAAGACTTAATATGAAAATCAAACTTACAAAAAAAAAAAAAAAGAAAGAAAAGAAAAAGAAAATCAAACTTACGTCTCTAAGTTGTCACCTTCCAGAACTGTTTGGACAGGCAAGTAGCCGAGTCGGGGATGTTTGGCAAAGTATTTCTTTGACCTGAACTTGTTCTTCAGCACCTTTGTGAAGTCTCGTACATCCTCCCCAGATGTTGTCTATAAGGTTGAAAAAATTACACTTCCCTATTAAAACTGAAGGCAACAATTATCCATAATAAAATCAGAGCAGATGGGATTGGAGGTAGGTAAATGTTACAGTTTGGGTAGAATAATGCACAATGTCATGAAAACACCCTGCAGTCAGAAGTTGTCATTCAATAGATCCAATGATAAGTTTATGATTGTCCATTTTCTTTTTGTTGAAAATAAACCATAGATAGCTCACTTTCCCAATATTTGAAAACTTGTGCCGAAAAAGTAAAATAAGTTTTGGAAATGTTATGGTTGATTCTATCGCTAAAAAAATTTGCAATTTGCTACTAAAAATTTAGTGACGACAAAGTATACTCTCTGGTTTTAACTCAGCAAGTTAAATAATAAATGCAGGTTGGTCACGTAGCCCATTCTGCATCCACATAAGCAGCTATATTCTAGCCTGGAAAAAAAGAAAGCAATACACAAGAGGGAAAGAGCAGGGTTCCCTGTCTGAGAAGGGCTGCCATCAATTTCTTTGCCCTTCCCCAACCATGCAGGCTTACAATTATCTGAAGTAAATTTTTAATGGTGTATAAAATTCTGCTGTTTCGGCTCGGCACGTACACCTAAGGTGGCGGGTTCGAATCCCCAGCCCGGGCCCGCCAAACAACAATGATGGCTACAACCAAAAAAATGGCCAGGCATTGTGGCAGGCACCTGTAGTCCCAGCTACTTGGGAGGCTGAGACAGGAGACTTGCTTGAGCCCAGGAGTTGGAGGTTGCTGTGAGCGTGATGCCATGGCACCCTACCCAGGGGGATAGCTTGAGGCTCCGTCTCAAAAAAAAAAAAAAAAAAAAATTCTGCTGTTTCCTTAAGCATTCCAAGATGATAAGCTTAATTATCATGTAGGGTGAGACGGGGGACACTACCCCAACCCTATCCCCTCATACTATCTCAAGAACTGTTATTCTTTAAGCCCCATTTTCTTTATCACAATGCTGTTTTTTGCAATACAAATACTGAAAAAAACTTTGGTCCTTCTGAAGAGGTATTTAAAATATTTACATCTGTATTTGCACAAAGCTGAATTAAGACCTTGATCCTCTGACTCCCAATCAGCTGCTCAACCTACACTAAGTAGACTTCACTCCCATTTTAGGGGAGAAAAAGGGGTGAGGTGGGAGAGAACTTTTCTAAAGCAGAAACTCAGTGAGAAATGGATTTGTTCATCTGCTCCCTGTCCCTGCCCTCCATCTCTTCCTTCAGGGCAAACACACCCAGGATTCCTGCAAATTTATTTTGTAAACAGAAACTTAAAAATACATAATTATTTTTGAAAACTAAGATCTGAGCCAACGCTTACATAGCTTTGCCACTTTCTATTCATTCTCATTCTACCTAAGTATGTCTTGCTTCTAGTAAACAATTATAGAAACTTTTAGGCTGAGTACTGTGGCTCACACCTATAATCCCAACACTCTGGGAGGCTGAGGTGGGAGGATTGATTGAGGCTAAGAGACTGAGACTAGCCTGAGCAAGAGTGAGACCCTATCTCTATAAAAAGTAGAAAAATTAACCAGGCATTGTGGTGGGGTCCTGTAGTCCTAGTTACTTGGAAGGCTGAGGCAGGAGGATCACTTGAGCCCAAAAGTTTAATGTTGCAGTGAGCTATGGTGAGGCCACTGCACCCTAGCCAGAGTGATGGAGCAAGGCCTCAAAATAATAATGATAATAATAATAATAATTAACTATTAAAAGAACTTTTGATTCTTTCAGGGTTGGAGAGAAAAGAGGAGGCATGAATAAGGCCAAGCTACTTATAACCTAAAACTCATCAATTTTTATATTACTGCAACAAATAAAAAACCTCCAAAAAGGACAGCCTCATGTTATCAGTATAGGTCTTTCCATGAGATTCACAATGACAAATCTTTTTCTAACTAACTGAAAATAAACTATATAATGACCTACAATTATATGGATTCAGTCACTCCCAAATAAAAATCAGAAGTATAGGGGAAAAAAATCTAATCATTAAAGAAGAGTAAAGAAAAGACAAAGAACTTAAGGCAACTCTGTGGAAGAAAAAAGGTTGCTTTGAGAGGTGATGGTTTAAGACCTTAACAGGTAGAATGGAGAAATAAGCAGAATCTAGTTGGGTGCAAAGAAGGAAACAGTTAGAGAAGGAATTTCTGGGACTAAGAATTGAGCCAAAAGAATGTATCTACTACAAAGGACAGTCACATCTTTTGCAATGGGTTTCACACTGCAGTAGATTGAGTTATGGCTATGTTTACTCTGAATGTCTTGGTAAAGAGGGAAAGAGAGAACACGGTTTCCATAATAGCAATACAAAAAGAAGACCTCTGTGTAAGGACAAGCACTTATGACCCAATTTATCCTTATATCTGCTCTTGGTGCTCTGTTAAAATACACAGAAGAACTGAATGAAGAAACGAACTTCAGTTTTTACTTGGGCGAGTTTCACACCTGGCAAAGGAAAGGGTTTGATCCTAAATTTAAGCCAATGATTTTCAAGCCATATCTAGTCTTCCACGCACAGCCCGCAGTGTGGGTGGGTGGTGGAAAAGGCCAGGCGAGTCAGGCACCACGCCCCTCCCCCAGTCTGCCTTGAACAGGGCAGTGTCCATTGTATAATTCAGTGATGTGTAGTATATTCTCAGAGTTGAACAGCCATCACCACCATCTCTTTATAGAACATTTTGTCATCTCAAAGGGAAGCTCTGCACCCAATACCCTCCTCTTCCACAATGCTTGACAAGTATGTATCTCCTTCTGTCTCTTATGAATTTGCCTATTCTGGCTATTTCATATAAATGGATTCATGCAATATGTGGTCTTTCGTAACTGGTTCCTTCCACTTAACAGAATGTTCTTCTTTTAGCTTATCTGAGTTCCAACATGAACTCTTGTTTGGGACAAAAATGAAAAACCATTCGAAAGTGCAAGTCTAATTCCACATCACACATTCTTTAGCTAAATATATTCAAGATGAAAGACCAAACCAAAACCAACTAACCAACCAAAACAATTCCTCTCTACCCATGCACAAAACCCCAGCAAACACCTGTCTGCACCTGACTGAAATTGGGTTTCTACTAGTTCTCAGATTGATGTTTTTGAGAAAGTTTTCCACATTCATACAGAAACAGCACATTTTTATTTCCTTAACTATTTTATGTTGAGGAAAAAAAAAGACCACCAAAAGTTGTAATCTAAGGGTGTTAATTCACTGGTGCCATAAACTTTATGCAATATTAAAAGAAAAAACGAAAAGCAATTCATCCCACAGGAACAAGGGATTATATTTATGCTAGCAGAATGCAATTTTTTGGTTGGGATAGAGCCAATAAAGTGAATTAAGCCTGTTTTTGCACCAAAAATGTTAAAATATTTATACATACTTGGTCTAATTTGCTATATAATGACTGTAGCTTCTATGTAGCTATTTTAAAGTGCTAAAGTAATGGTTTAGTGAAAAAGAAAAAGGAAAAAAGAACCACCCACCTAGCATAATGAATATAATCAAATTCAGTTCTACCTTCACACTAGGTATAATATTTTGTTCATTTTTTAAGGCAAATAACTACTGATATTATAAGAATATGAAATTGAAAGGAATACTTATTACAGGATAAGTTATCCAACATTTTATATGACTCAGGCATTTCTCGAAAGACTGGGTTTCTGTTTATTGTTGTTAAGAAAAGAAAGAGAACAAAATATTTGGGGGATCCCATTAGATGAAACGAGGGCAACACATTAGCAAAGAACCCTATACTCACCAGTTGTAACCCTTCAATCTCATGCAATCTTCAGAGCCTATGAAGTTATCATCAGGTTTTTTTTTGTAAGTGAACTGACATTAGGTCTCGAATTCCAATCAAGGTCAGTTGTTGTAAAATTAATATTCCTGTACATTTAGAAGTGACAGAAAAGGTTTTCTAACTTCACCAAGATCCCTCTTCTTTTGTTTTTGCATAGTATTTAAAAATATGGCGCAGGCGGCACCTGTGGCTCAAGGAGTAGGGCGCCAGCCCCATATACTGGAGGTGGTGGGTTCAAATCCAGGCCTGGCCAAAAACTACAAAAAAAAAAAAATTATGGCACATATCTTAGTCTACTCAGCCTGCAATAACAGAATACCATAGACTGAGTGGCCTCAAGCTGTCACCCTGGGTAGAGTGCTGTGGCGTCACAGCTCACAGCAACCTCCAACTCCTGGGCTCAAGCAATTCTCCTGCCTCCGCCTCCCAAGTAGCTGGGACTACAGGTGCCCGCCACAATGCCCAGTTATTTTTTGTTGCAGTTGTTGCAGCCATCAACAAAATGTTGTTGATGTTTGTTGTTTGGCGGGCCTGGGCTGGATTCAAACCCGCCAGCTCAGGTGTATGTGGATGTGGCTGGTGCCTTAGCCGCTTCAGCCACAGGCGCCGAGCCATGGCACTTTTTTTTAATAGAAGGAATCCTTAGTGGGTCTAGTCTGAGAGCTCACAGAGGGTCAGAGGATTCCAGAGATTTTACATCCTGGGCTCTGGGCATGGCAAACCCCTTCCAGGGTCAGCTCTGCTCTCCAACCAGCTTCCCACTGAATAGCTGCTGTCCACTATGGGATCCTCCAGTTGGCAGGAACCTTTGCTTCCTCATCTTTCCTCTTAGCCAGAAAATATGTTGTAGGCTTTGTGAGCCAGTGATTGCTCGCTGCCACTCAGATTTATTTTAGAGATATCTTGTCACCTAGTTTTGTTGTTAACAGTCTTTTCATTTTTGGTTTTGCTGTCTTTTATGCCCAGTCCCTTTTTATGTAACAACTTTAAAATGGGAATAAAGTGGCAAAGGCAAAATAGATTAAAAAACTCTGAAGCCTGGTCCTGCCACCTTCCCCAGATCCCTCTGCACTGACTTTTAACAAGTCCCTAAGAACTCACATGCACGAGTTAGGGCTGCCCTGCAAATTGTCATTTTTGGAAAGCTAATGATGGTGACTCACCATGGCAAA